TTGGCATTGGGTATCGATCAGAAATTGTTTTTTCGTTAAGCTTTCTGAAATCAATAACGAGTCGCCATTTCTGTTGTATCTCTTTCTCTGTTTTCTTTGGAACAACCCATGCGGGTGCACTCCAAGACAAAAAACTATTTCTTATTAGTTTTTGATCAATAAGTTCAGAAATTTGTATCTTTATTTCTTGTTTATGAATAAATGGCTGACGATAAGACTTAACGTGGATTGGAATATTACCTGTAGTTGGGATCGAGTGTGTTATTTCGCTACAGAAGGTTAGTTGGGTGACTTCTTTATAAAATATGTCTGAAAACTCTGAGCAAATTTGGATGAGATGTGATTTCTCCTCTTTATTTAGGTTTTCCGTACTCAGAATGTTGGGTTTAGACTGCGTAAGGCCTTCGAGGGTTGGTGCATTCACAAGGTTGTGGAAGTGGATGAACTCGTTGTTATTGAAAGGTTGTGTGGGTAAGGGGTCTTTAATGCAAACAACTTGATCGCCGGTTGATTCGTTGACCAATTCGAGGTTTGCAACACCTTTGGTAGCAGTGTATAATCCACCAGAAATGGTAAAGTGTTTTCCTAGTATTGTATTTGGTAAGTAGAAGTCGCCGTCTGGCGTTTGGACTGGCAAAGGTAATAATGTCTTGCTAGAGCTACAAATTTCGTAGACGTGAATGGTAGTGTCGACTTTCGTGAAGATGGGTAAAGTCACAAGAGGGGTTACTAGCTGTCGTGTTGGTAAGTCAATTTTTTGCACTTAGTTTTGTTAGTATGTCCATACCTAGAATGCCGTTAAAGAAGGTGTGGAATTTGAAAATTAATAGTTGTATGTTTGTTGACTCGTTGAATTCTTTGAATAGAGGAATATTTGTAGAGTTTGTAATTTCGTGACTGCTAAGAACAGTATTTATTCTAATGGGTAAGTCTAGTGTTGTCATCTTGTCTATCGTTATTAGATTTGGTTCAATAAAAGAAAAGAGTTTGTTGATCCAGTATCTAACAGGAATTTTAATGGTGTATTATTAAACGAAGTTATTATTTGTATGGTAGACATGCTTTGTATTTAGGTAGAGTCAAATATTTTTCGGGGGCGGAGAGGCAGTTGTAAAAAAATTTGTGGAATCGTTGATGTTGCATGAATTAGTGTCTTGCGTTACTATATTGCTTAAATGTCTCTGCTCATTGTTGCTAAAAGGGTTTTGAGGTTGGTTATTATAATTATTTGATCGTGGGTTGTCTGTGTTATAAGGGATATGGTTGTTATTGTGTTGTCCATTGTGACTTGATTTTTGATTGTAGTGACTGTAATTGTTAGACCTCTGGTTGTTATAATTATAGTTTCGGCGTCCGTCAGTGTATCTCGGTTTTGAGTACGTAAGTTCAATGTGACATATTTCGTATGCCCGTTCTAAAGTACTGGGGTCTCTAGCCCTGATAACCGATCGGAGAGGATCGCGTAGTTCCATAACGAATACATTAAGGGCAACGTCGTTGTACAGTCGTTTCTTTATAGCTTGACCCTCTGGGCTTTCGGTACTGTTTCTGAGCAAAGAGTAAAGTTGCTCCCTGATTTTGGATATGCCGAAGAAAAGTTTCCCCAAAGATAGGCCATCTTGGAGAGTCTGCATTTCCATAAGGTAGCTTCGGATTTTTGTTGCCATACAGCCTATACAAATTTTCATTGATATTATCCCACACTTGGCTGGTGTTAGCTAGTGTCAATCCCTCGTCAGCTCTTCCTATTATTGTATTACGAATAGCTCGGAGCACAAGTTGTTCGTAAGGTGTTTGATCCGTGCCCCTGATTAACATAATAATTTCTTTGACGTTTGTAATAAATTTGTCCAATGTTGTTGGTGTTCCGTCAAATGTTGGTAGTTCTTTTACAAAGGCTAAAATGTCGGTCGGAGTGAGTATTGTGCAGATGTTTGTGGTACCACTAACAGTTGGGGTTAGCGGGACCGAAGATCTACCCGAGTCCATTCTTGCTTGTGAGGCTTGAATCGTTTCCTGGTGGGTCATCTCAACTATTTCTTCTTGTTCGGCTACTAGCGGAAGATTTTGGCTGCTAGGTCCTGACCTAGTTCTTCCCTTAGTATTTGGGAGAATCTTTGGAAATAATATTTTTGACATTGACATTTTGTTTGTTTGTGTGGAGATCGGGTTGTAGCCTCGAACTCAGTGTGTTGTCTGTAATCTGTGTGATAATTATGAAAATAGTTTATATTTCTGTATATATGTATAGGATTGTTTGTAACGACAGACTATGAAATTGTGCATTTTTTTTTATATAGCTTATGTATGCGTTTATGTAATGCAATGTAATGTAACTTCCATCGTGAGAATTAGTGAAATACAGTTGTCAAAGTTGTCGTGTATATGTATATGACAATGGTGGCGTGGTATTTGTCCTTTATTTCGGCAGCGACTTCAATTAATGTGATTCACTACGTAGCAAACGGCACCGTTATCTTTAACCATTTGGAAACCACAAGGTTAATATGTTTCATGCGTGTGTATATTGTTTTGTTTCTATTCAATCGTATGTATGCATATGTATATGTATATTGAATTTTATGTTTAATTTTTTTTTTTGCACATTTTCATGTTTGCCGCTACATACCCTTACAGTATTAGTAGTAATGTTGTTGGTAACATTGATTTCCGCTGTTTTCCGTTGTTTTTCCGGCTGCGCCAGTTACCATCCCGAGCGTATGGGCGATGCCACCGTGGCCGAGGTTATGTGTTACAATCGTTGGTGTAAATAAAACGCTTTAATTTTAATTGTGTTCGTGGTTTTATGTTTAATTTTTGTTGCTTAATTAATGTGCTCCGTTCAATGTCCAGCATGAGAGTGTTCTTTGTTCTCTGGCAGTCGTAGGTTTTTGCTTTTATTCGCGCCGAACTTCACTCGGCGCCAGACGCTGAAACGGGACTTTTTCCAAGCTACAGCGCTAGATAGGCTGATGCAAAATTTGTCTCTTCTTGAGAAAATGTCCGAAAACGCATTAACTCAATGTAGCTGCGCACATATATTTTTTTAGCGTGCACCGTCGCGGCGTCAGTGTCTTCAGCTACTTATGGTCCGTTATGTTGAATGTGTCCGAGTTGGCACTCATGGTCGTAGTTAGCTTTTGTTGCGAAGGGGCTTAGGTGGGAACAGCGTAGTATTATCCGTTGTTAACTCTGGCGACTGCGCTCATCCAGATTAAAAATAAGTCTCGAAAATACGAGCAGCTAAAGGCTCTGATAGATGGAGGCTCCTAAAAAACCTTAATATCTGAAGAAGCCGCACAACAATTAAAACTGCGCAGAACCAAACGGAAAGTGGAAGTTCGAGAAATTTTGCAAAATGTGAAATTCTTAAAAATAGTGTTCGCTTAGCAATCAAACCCAAGTTTAAAAGCAAATTCGTCACTAAAACACAGCACTTGTTATGCAAAAACTTCAGAGAGCTCTTCCGACCAAAAAAAAGTGAGATGAATGTCAAAAGGGATAGGAATATCTGCGAGCTAGCAGACCCACATTTTAACGAGCCCCTTAAAAATGATATTGTTATTGGCGTTGATTTACTTCCCCTAATAATGTTGGGAAAACTAAAGAAAATCAACAAAACCCTAGGACATAAGAAACAAACTTGGAGCGCATCAACAACGATGAGCCTGGACGTCCCAGAGATCTGCAAAGCATCGAAAAATTGGGATGCTTTACAGACGAAGACACAGGAAACGGATTAAGAGGAGAAACTAGAAGCAGCAACTGCTATCTGTCACATTTGGCCTCCGAAGAATGTTCAGGCATGAACATACAGCATATTACGTCTACGCCCTAAACCACTATAAGAATAGATCAAATGACATGCTTAGAATCTAAAATTAGACATAGCAACGCTGAGCCTTACACACTCAGCATAGATAAGTTTCATTTAAGGGATGAAATACGCTTGAGTACGGTTATAAGAACTCTAGTTCAAACTAATAACGATTATTACAAAACTGAATGCCATCACTGTCAAGTGTATTCCCTGATTAAGAATGAACGCAATTATAAACTTTCTAACAGATCATGCGCTCTGCTTACTGCGTCAAGATTATACGTTTCGAATTTCAAGTCTATATTTGGTGGACACAGCGCCTAGTCAAATATATTTACTTTATCTGCCTGTTACATGCATTTTCACAAGACCATTATATTATACTCTTATCAATGAATAAAAATAAAAGCATAACATGATTTCGTATCTTCACAATCAAATTATATTTTAAACCTAATATCGAGTTTGCCAAGAAGAGAGCCAACGCCTCTAATTGGCAAAATACGGATAGTACCTCAAAAGACGTAAGCCATGTGCTTTTATAACTGAAGGTTGACTGTTCATTAATCGACTACATTGAAACAGGAAAGTTTTTTGAAACAACTTGCTGTAGCTAACATAAAAAACTGAAATCGAATCATATATATCCAATACTCGAGAAACATTTAAGAGGGTGCCCGAAATTTTATGCATTTATTTAAAAAAAAAACACACGCGGTTACAATTTTGTACATGCACACCTAAATATATGGCAGATACGGTTTTACACTTACACTTCTAAAGATTCCTTAGGAAGAGCCAAAACTAATATGTCTTTGCGTACTAGAGTGTGGAAAATCGAAAAAATTGTATCTTCTACAGTTTAACGTGTAGAACTGGATATTTGACGACAAAGTTCCTGCTGACCTCCTCTATTGATTTACCAAAACTTATATCTATATATATATGCTTCTTTAAATTGTAGAAGCTCGGTAAAAAAATATATTTTCTAAATTGTACGAGCTGGCAATGTTTTGACCGCAAATGACTATTATGTAGTCGTTAATGCCGGACTGCAGCATTTTTGTATATTTTTACTAGGAACGATTAATATCAATAAATCAAACAACTTGGATTGGTATAACTTCGCCGATTGAGGATGGAATAGAACTGATATTTATCAAATTATAATAGATCTTACCTGTAAGAAAGCTCACATACATTATTTTGCGAATGAGAGTGCGGCACTTTGGAACTACCACTCTTATCGACAGCAATGACTGCTAGCTCAAGCGCCGAGCCAGAAAGACTGCGGTCGCTACCGCGACGTCGCGCTAGATTACCTGAAGGTGGTGTATTGGTAACAGGACAAATACCGCAAGCTGTACCGGCTGTAGATGTGTTCTTAGTCACCTCGCCTACATTTGGTTGACTTGAAAGGGCGGCAGTCATCTTCTTTTTCGCTCCACTCACGGTTCCAAAATTAAAGAAACGTTTTTTATGCGATGGCTGGATGCCACTATCAATAAGTCGTTTGTAGTGATCTGAACGTATAAAGCGTGGATAGCAATCTTTCTTTAAAAGAAGCATGTAAATATGCTCTGAGGCAGAGTCAAAAGTGAATCGCGAAGGATTTTGAAGACCACGTAGGACGCTTTCCATGGTTTTGCCATCGATATTAATTTCGCAAGGCGCTCCAGGTTTAAGGAACTCTCTGAAAATAAAAATTTTTATTATGCTTCCATTTATGCGGGTAAGAATTTTCTCACTCAAATATCTCGTTAACATTGCGCGCCACTTGCGAGTGAGCTGCTCGACGAAGACGATTGACTGCAATCCAGAATCGTATGTTTTCGTGAGAGTACTCTTTTTCTAAAAACATAGTAAACTCCTGCAACCCTGTGGGATCAGACACAAGTTCTTCTATAGAAATAGCCCATCGTTTTACACGCTTTTCTGTAGGTATGTCCACAAACGTATTGTTTAGCTGCCAAAATGTAATATCCTCAGTTACCCAAGGATTGGAAGGCAGCGCTGGCTGCAAAAAGAAATCGTACTCGTAAAACGTCTCCGAGTAGCTAACAAGCGATTCACAGGCTTGTGACATTTTCATTCGTGTTCTATTTAGGGTTTTGCTCAGAAATTCCACTTCACGTTGTATATCATCAACAGTCTTTTTTTTGTTAGGTTTCTGGCCCTGACGATCTCGTGACGGCACCGGACACGGCTCAAGTGGTGTAAATTGCCCAGGTGGTGGACGGTGTACGCGCCAATAAGCACGCTCTTGTGAGTCGCCTACAATTTTGTCCCCTTTCTTACGCTCCTTGGCAAGGCGTACTTGCTCCTCTGCTTGCATTGAAATAAAGTCCCACTTGCCTTTAAGGTTCTTGTGGAGCGAGGCGAAAGCCTCAGCCTCGTAATCCTCTAATGCATGGCGCTGTTTATTACGAAGTGAACGTTTTGCCAAATAAATAGCATATTCCACATTGTCCGGTGCCTTGTGTTGCCAGGGCCAGTAGTAAGGAGTCTGGAAGCGATAAAGAGATGAGTCGTCTTTAACTGTCAGAGTCTTCGAATCATTGACGGGGAAAAAGTAGCCATGTAGGCACAGCTGATTGGCAATGTTTAATGCCTCCGACTCCTCTATTTGGAGATGGTCCATAAGCCATTCAATTAAATCATACCCTGTGTGGTAATAAAATAGCGTATCTAAAGTTGCAATCCTTATTAGATTAAATGTCGTACTTACCCATAAAAGCATATGGAATAGATGTAAGAAACATCTTTTGCTGACGAACTGGCACACCATGCTCCTGATCTTGCATTTCCCGTACTAGAACCTCCATCTAAAAAATGCAAAAATATTTGGCAAGTCAGTACGTCTTGTTAAGTGATTCCATAACTGTTGTCTTAAACGACATGCTCTTTAAAATAATAATAAAATTAGTCAGATCTAAATATTTATTTAAAACAAAGAATTTTTATAGCTAGGTTATTGGTTACATTGAACGAGGTGGCAATTTGTCTACAATTTTGAATCTGGAAGATAAGTTTTTTGTTGGATCTGAAAAGAGGTTCCGTGTGTCACTACATATGAGTTTATTAGACTACACAGTATGCTCAAAAAATAAGGGGACTTTTTATTTAAATCATGAAACACGTAACACCATCAATTAAACATTGATAGCATTAGAAAGGTACAGGTATACGCGCTTTTTAATGACATTATTTTTTGTTCTTGTGTCGTAAAAATACAACGGAACCAAAAGCAAATGTTAAGTTTTGTTTTAAACTTGGAAAAACATTTAGTGAGACGAACGAGTTGATGCAAAAAGTGTATGTTGATGATTGGTTACCTCTTTCGAAAGTTTATTAGTGTTTTTTTTTATCGATTTATAAATGGTCGTGAAGATTTGAATAATGATTAATGATGAAAGTCCTGGTCGTCCAAAAGTAATTAATCTTGCTGAATTGGTGAAAAAGTCCCCGAAATCATTGCTGTCGACGGTAATTTCACTGTTAGAATGTTGGATGAAAAATTAAATGCATCTACTGGTACTATTTGGACTATTTTAACTGACGATTTGGGTAAAAATAACGCTCGTGTATAGCATTGTAAAGACATCATTTCAACAGCTGAAAACAATTCAGGTTTTTTTGATCCGATCATAAGTGGACTCTTTTAACTGACAATTCGGGTAAAAATATCGCTCGTGTGTAGCATTGTAAAGACATCATTTCAACAGTTGAAAACATTTCAGATTTTTTTTATTTGATCATAAGTGGTGATGAAGTATGGCGCTTTAAATATGACCTTGAAACTAAGAGTCAATCTGTGTTTTCAGTCCAGAATGAAGACAATGTTGATCACGTTTTACGATTCCAATGATATTGTAAAAAGGAATTTGTTCCAGAAGGTCAAATTGTTGATGGAGAATACTATTTACTATTTACCACTTCCCAAAACCAAAAAAGTTCGTGACTATTTTCTGTTCCTGCACATATGAAGTGTCCCATATATGACTCCCCCATTCTTAATAAAAGTACCTTTGATCAAATGGATACAACAGGTTATAGAGAGTGGTTTTCCTCAACTACAATATTTTGAATTTCGGTTTGCTCTTTGGAGTTACTTGTACATCCCAATTGAAAATAGGAAATCAGGGTATAATAGTTTTGTGCAAATGTATGTCCGTATGTGTGAATGATCTCAGCATCTATAAGACCTAGAGACTTGAAATTTTTTTTGTAGGTCCGTGTATAGCACGCGCATATCAAGTTTGTCTGAAACATTCGATAAGTGTTCCCGGCTTATTGTTATTGAATAAAAACATGATCGAAATGTAGTTATTAAATTATATTTCGTACGTCTTAAGAGCTAGAGCCTCCAAATTTTGTATTTAGTTTTATATTATATTATATTATGCAATTTTGAATTTTTTTAGTTTTTGGATACCTGCTTCTAAATTCACCAAATTCTTAAAATTGAGGTTCAGTTAGAAATAGGGCCATTGTGTGAAGGCGTTTGCATCTCTACTAAGCCAATAGAATATGTAGATCATATGCTGAAAATGTCATTTAAATCCATTAAGAACCTAACAGAATTTACTAAGCAAAACGTTTGGCCAATTTACAAAAGCACATATCAGCAGCGCCAATGGCACGTATTTATGCGTGTATTATTTTTTATTCGAAGAATCGAAATTGCGATTGAATTGTGCTTCATTATGAGCTGATGCCAAAGTTCAAATTTACAACTCTTCTCTCAAGAGGTGAATTCGCAAGAGGTGAATTAGCGGTGTTGGAAGAGTCGGCGCTCGTAAGTGGCTAATCCCAGGGTCTGATCCCGGCTGCGTAAGAAGATTTTTTATTTTTTTTTTAAATTTTTTTTAATTATGAGGTGGCGGAGGTATGCGCGCTGCGTAGAAATTGTGGGTTCGAATTTTGGTGTCGTTTCCATTTTATTTATTTTTTTAAATACTCGATAGGAATGGGATCAGGGTATCTCCTAGTCGGACACCCCGACTAGAGTTTTCTTGTTACTTAACAATTAGGTTTTGTGGTAGTACCCTGAATTTATATATTGAATACAATGATAACAAAATAGTTGTAACAAATTATAGCAATAGTTTTATATATATAATTGTGATATAATATTTCTTTCTTTTGTGTGTAGGACATTGCTTTTAGTTTAGTAATGTTGTTTGTAATGTTGTTTTTTTTGTTTCACTGAACAATCGGAGATTATTACTTGTTGTTGCCCTATATTATTAATTTATTGTCAACGAAGCTTAAATTTAAGTTTGTCTTGAATAAAAAATAATGCACACATGTGAATGTTGAATGAGTTACATATTTACTAACTGCATTTTAAGCAAGATCTTAAGAGTTATCGCACACATAGCTGTACGGACTTTCTAATAGTCTGAGATCGATGCGTTTATACATACAGGCAGACGGACAGTCAGACGGACAGGACTAAATCGACTAAGCTTGTCTTCCTGATTAAGAACATATAAAGTTATGGGGCCTGCTATTCCTCTGTCTGTCTGTAAAACACACTTTAACAAAACCATTATTCCCTGATTCTTAACAATTCTTAACTATAGCTGGTCAAGTTCAACTTCAATCGCGTTACAAAATTGCACGCAGCCGACTTCACACAAAGAAAGTAATTATTATTTTTGTTTCCGGTTGTATCTTCGCCAGACTAAGACCGACGTGATCACACGGAAATAAAGCATCTATCATTAATACAATCTTAATACTTTACTTAATTGGCCACCAACAGACAAACGAGCCTATGCCGTTTATACCCTACGGATTAGTTCTTAGCTAAGAGATAAAATGTAATCGCTGTGTAAAAATAGGGTATTTCTAGCAGACTGAATAATTAAGCAATCAAACTGTCATAATCGGAATAAAGTGAAATTTTATCAAAGTACTCATAACTTCGTATGCGAACTTGTTGGCAACCAATAGATAATTATTTTTCTTTGGTTATTTCTCTTTGGTGAAAATATATAACGAGAAAATTCCTTTATTCGATTTTGATTGTGACATGCAAAACCACAGAAATTCTTTTGGTTATTACGCATTAATTCGTTTAATTTGTTCACCCAATGGTGCAGAGTTAAATGAGTAGTGACGATACGGGCTCACTAGACTTTTTGAGATAATTAATTAAGACATTAATTCCAATTTACCAAAACGAGATAACATGAACGCTGAACAGTGCAATCACCAATGCCGCAGTTTATGCAGCCTTACGTGCCCAGAAAACAGATTTTGAACAAAGATTACAGGAATTGACAGACCGTGTTAGTCAGGTGACAGTAATTCAGCTAAACATAAAAGAGTATGAGGATGTTTCAATAGTGAAGTCTGTCCCGGAGTTTAATGGCACACAAGATCAATACGTGACTTGGCGCCAAGTACCAAAGGCTGCCTACAAACTGTATAGTGACTGATAGGAACATTTTCATTTAACACAAAGTTGAATTTCGACGCTATTATTAACAGAATAGATTTTACCTATGCAGACAAGCGTCCAGTACATTTAGGCAAACAAAAGATGAGAACCCTTAGACAGGGTAATATGACGGTATTGGACTTTTACGATGATGTTGAGATAAGGCTCACACTCCTTACCAACAAAACTATTATGTCATATGATGCGGCTATTGGTATTGGAATTTTGGATAAAGCTCACACTCCTCACCAACAAAACTGTTATGTCACATGATGTGACTATCATCAATCATATGCATGAAAAATACAGAACGGATGCACTCCGTGTGTTAATCTTAGGAAAAGATTAACCAATGCCTTATATGTAGCTCAACCCAGTAGTTTGCCGAACATACTTGCGTTGGCACAGCTAATCATGAAGCTATCATGACATGAAGAGCACAAACCTTTGAGAAAATGTAACAAAAGAGGTCTAAGACTTTTGCAAACCCAAACGAGTCCTAACCATAAAATACGGCAATCGTTGGTACCATCAAAACAATCCACGACGAGCCTATTTATATAAAAATGTCCCCATTCCCAGCGGGTGAGGCAAATTTTGTCAATAAAGATATTTATGATCTCTTAAAAAATGGTATTATCAGAAAATCCCGGTCCCCGTACTGTTGTACCACCAATACGTGGTACCACCCATATGGGTGGTCAACAAGAAAGGCATCGACGAGTTTGGTGAAAAGAAAAAAGTTTGGTCATTGATTTCAGGAAGTTAAATGAATAAATGGTATCCCATCCATATCTGGATAATATTAGTAAACTTGGGACAAGCGAAATACTTCACGATCATCAGATCAATCTTGCAGAACGCAACGGAGGAAAATGAGTTTTGCAGGTTAACTTTTGACGTATTGCGCGATCAGATTGGAAGGTCGTGCGATTTTTATGTCGATGACGTAATTGTTTTCTTAAAGAATGAAGAAGATCATATCAGACAGGTGGATTTGGTACTGGAAAAACTTCTAGAAGCCAATATGAGAGTGGGATTAAAAAAATCTCAATTTTACAAAGCATGTGTCAAGTATTCTTGGTTTCATTGTAACCAATGCAGGTGCAAGATCCGACCTCAAAAAGTTAAGGTCCATCCGCGAATACTCTGAACCAAAAAACCTTTACGAGTGTAAAACCTCTATGTTGTCTTATACCTGAGAAATTCTTCAAGTCGACATTTTTTCGACAAATAAAAAACTCTTAACCAGCATTGACAAATTTTTCAAATTCAATAGATGTTAAAATTGCACTAATTCAGTTGATGAACATCTACCCCCATACTAAATCGACGATAAAACCAATGTTGTCAAACATCTTTGAAACGTCAATA